CCCCCCCCCCCCCCCCCCCCCCCCCCCCCCCCCCCCCCCCCCCCCCCCCCCCCCCTCCCCCCCCCCCCCCCCCCCCCCCCCCCCCCCCCCCCCCCCCTCCCCCCCCCCCCCCCCCCCCCCCCCCCCCCCCCCCCCCCCCCCCCCCCCCCCCCCCCCCCCCCCCCCCCCCCCCCCCACCCCCCCCCCCCCCCCCCCCCCCCCCCCCCCCCCCCCCCCCCCCCCCCCCCCCCCCCCCCCCCCCCCCCCCCCCCCCCCCCCCCCCCCCCCCCCCCCCCCCCCCCCCCCCCCCCCCCCCCCCCCCCCCCCCCCCCCCCCCCCCCCCCCCCCCCCCCCCCCCCCCCCCCCCCCCCCCCCCCCCCCCCCCCCCCCCCCCCCCCCCCCTCCCCCCCCCCCCCCCCCCCCCCCCCCCCCCCCCCCCCCCCCCCCCCCCCCCCCCCCCCCCCCCCCCCCCCCCCCCCCCCCCCCCCCCCCCCCCCCCCCCCCCCCCCCCCCCCCCCCCCCCCCCCCCCCCCCCCCCCCCCCCCCCCCCCCCCCCCCCCCCCCCCCCCCCCCCCCCCCCCCCCCCCCCCCCCCCCCCCCCCCCCCCCCCCCCCCCCCCCCCCCCCCCCCCCCCCCCCCCCCCCCCCCCCCCCCCCCCCCCCCCCCCCCCCCCCCCCCCCCCCCCCCCCCCCCCCCCCCCCCCCCCCCCCCCCCCCCCCTCCCCCCCCCCCCCCCCCCCCCCCCCCCCCCCCCCCCCCCCCCCCCCCCCCCCCCCCCCCCCCCCCCCCCCCCCCCCCCCCCCCCCCCCCCCCCCCCCCCCCCCCCCCCCCCCCCCCCCCCCCCCCCCCCCCCCCCCCCCCCCCCCCCCCCCCCCCCCCCCCCCCCCCCCCCCCCCCCCCCCCCCCCCCCCCCCCCCCCCCCCCCCCCCCCCCCCCCCCCCCCCCCCCCCCCCCCCCCCCCCCCCCCCCCCCCCCCCCCCCCCCCCCCCCCCCCCCCCCCCCCCCCCCCCCCCCCCCCCCCCCCCCCCCCCCCCCCCCCCCCCCCCCCCCCCCCCCCCCCCCCCCCCCCCCCCCCCCCCCCCCCCCCCCCCCCCCCCCCCCCCCCCCCCCCCCCCCCCCCCCCCCCCCCCCCCCCCCCCCCCCCCCCCCCCCCCCCCCCCCCCCCCCCCCCCCCCCCCCCCCCCCCCCCCCCCCCCCCCCCCCCCCCCCCCCCCCCCCCCCCCCCCCCCCCCCCCCCCCCCCCCCCCCCCCCCCCCCCCCCCCCCCCCCCCCCCCCCCCCCCCCCCCCCCCCCCCCCCCCCCCCCCCCCCCCCCCCCCCCCCCCCCCCCCCCCCCCCCCCCCCCCCCCCCCCCCCCCCCCCCCCCCCCCCCCCCCCCCCCCCCCCCCCCCCCCCCCCCCCCCCCCCCCCCCCCCCCCCCCCCCCCCCCCCCCCCCCCCCCCCCCCCCCCCCCCCCCCCCCCCCCCCCCCCCCCCCCCCCCCCCCCCCCCCCCCCCCCCCCCCCCCCCCCCCCCCCCCCCCCCCCCCCCCCCCCCCCCCCCCCCCCCCCCCCCCCCCCCCCCCCCCCCCCCCCCCCCCCCCCCCCCCCCCCCCCCCCCCCCCCCCCCCCCCCCCCCCCCCCTCCCCCCCCCCCCCCCCCCCTCCCCCCCCCCCCCCAGAGTGCCAGAATTCAGGCAGAGATCATCCCTCGGTTTCCTCCTCCTCCTCCCCCCTTCCCCCACCTCCTCCTTCCTCCACCATATTCCCCCTCTACCTCCCCTCCCGGAATTCAGGCAGAGATCGTCCTCTCCCTCCTCCATTCCCCCCCCTTCCCCTCCCCCTCCTCCACCATTGTCCACAGAGAGTGCTGGAATTCAGGCAGAGGTCAGGCTGTGTGTGTCTATGGATGGAGATGGGCTTTCCCCTGTGCCTCTCCTCTACAGATATCACATTGAACTGCCAATCGTCCATCTCCTCCTCCTCGGTGTGTGCGGTCTTCCACCTGCTCTCCCTCTCCGGTGTAGTTGTCCCCCTCTCCCTCCTCCTCTGGTGTGTGGCGGTCTTCCCCCCTCCTCCTCCTCCTCCTCCTGGTGTGTGGGCGGTCTTCCCCTCTGCCTCCTCTTGGTGTTCCTCCTCCTCCTCGGTTGTGTGGCGGTCTTCCCCTCTCCTCCTCCTCCTCCTCCTCTCTCGGTGTGTGGCGGTCTTCCCCCTCCTCCTCCTCCTCGGTGTGTGGCGGTCTTCCCCCTCTCCTCTCCTCCTTCCTCCTCCCATCCCTCGGTGTGTGGCGGTCTTCCCCCTCTCCTCCTCCTCTTCCTCCTCCTCGGGTGTGTGTGGCGGTCTTCCCCCTCCTCTCCTCCTCCTCCTCGGTGTGTGGCGGTCTTCCCCCTCTCCTCCTCCTCCTCGGGTTGTGGCGGTTCTTCCCCCCCCTCCTCCTCTCCTATCCTCCTCGGTGTGTGGGCGGTCTTCCCCCTCTCTCTCCTCCTCTCGGTATGTGGCGGTCTTCCCCCCTCTCCTCCTCTTCCTCTTCGGTGTGTGGCGGTCTTCCCCTCTCCTCCTCCTCCTCTTCGGTGTGTGGCGGTCTTCCCCCTCTCCTCTCTCCTCCGGGTGTGTGGCGGTCTTCCCCCTCTCCTCCTCCTCTTCCTCTTCGGTGTGTGGCGGTCTTCCCCCTCTCCTCCTCGGTGGGTGTGTGGGCGGTCTTCCCCCTCTCCTCCTCCTCCTCGGTGTGTGTGGCGGTCTTCCCCCTCTCCTCTTCGGTGGGTGTGTGGGGGGGTCTCCCCCTCTCCTTCGGTGGGTGTGTGGGGGGGGGTCTCCCCCTCTCTTCGGTGGGTGTGTGGGGGGGTCTCCCTCTCTTCGGTGGGTGTGTGGGGGGGTCTTCCCTCTCTTCGGTGGGTGTGTGGGGGGGTCTCCCCTCTCTTTGGTGTGTGTGGGGGGGTCCCCCTCTCCTCGGGTGTGTGGGGGGTCCCCCCTCTCTTCGGTGGGGTGTGTGGGGGGGTCTCCCCTCCTCCTTGGTGGGGGGGTTCTCCCCTCTCTTCGGTGGGTGTGTGGGGGGTCTCCCCTCTCCTCCTCGGGTGTGTGTGGGGGGGTCTCCCCTCTTCTCCTCGGTGGGGGTGTGGGGGGGTCTCCTCTCTGCTCCTCTGGTGGGGGGTCTCCTCCTTGGTCTCCTCCTGGTGGGGGTGTGGGGGTCTCCTCTCTCCTCCTTGGTGGGGGGTCTCCCCTCTCCTCCTTGGTGGGGGTCTCCTCTCTCCTCCTTGGTGGGGGGTCTCCCCTCTCCTCCTCGGTGGGCATGGTGGGGGGGGTGTCCCTCCCTCGGTCAGGTTCTAGGCTCTCACATACTGACAATCCGTCTATCCCGCCCCGTGTTTTCCTTGACTTTTCTCCACCAGAAAGTGGATTTTGCCAACAACATGCAGTTGTCTCTGACATTGGCGGCGTTGTCCATTGGACTGTGGTGGACATTCGATCGATCCCGGAGTGGGTTAGGACTCGGTATTGGAATCGCCTTCTTTGCCACATTGGTGTCCCAGCTGTTGGTCTATAATGGCGTCTACCAGTAAGTGCACTCCAGGAGGCGGGGCTCCAAGAGGCGGGGCTCCAGGAGGCGGGGCTGAGCTTATTGTGACATATGTCCTCTCTCCGCAGATACACGTCCCCGGATTTTCTGTACGTGCGCTCCTGGCTTCCCTGCGTCTTCTTCGCTGGAGGGATCACCATGGGGAACATTGGGCGCCAGCTGGAGATGGTAAGTGTGAAGATCTACACAGGAGGACCGCCTCCATAGTATCATGTGACAGGAAATAGAAGAATATATGCAATACATAGACTGGGAGTGGGTGGGGCCGGTGCTGGGAGCCTTCACAGAGTTTCCCAGCATGCTTTGTTCTCCTGCAGTACCATGTGAATGTTATATCTACAGTACGTAGTCTGAGTGGAGGGCTGGCACTGGGAGCCATCATATTGCCTATATAGACTCCACTCGGGGCCGGGGTGGACAGACGTGTGTCAGTGAAGTCAGTCTGATCATTTAGAACTCTGACAAGCATTTGGCCACCTTCTCCTCCTCCTGATGAAGGGGGGGGGGGGGTTGTCCTCCCTTCATCTCCTGACGAAGGGGGGGGGGTTGGCCGCCCTCTCCTCATCCTCCTGACGAAGGGGGGGTTGGCCGCTTTCTCTCCCCCTGATGAAGGGGGGGTTGGCCGCCTTCTCCTGATGAAGGGGGGATTGGCCACCTTCTCCTGATGAAGGGGGGGTTGGCCGCCTTCTCCTGATGAAGGGGGGTTGGCCGCCTTCTTCTGACGAAGGGGGGGTTGGCCGCCTTCTCCTGACGAAGGGGGGGTTGGCCGCCTTCTCCTGACGAAGGGGGGGTTGGCCGCCTTCTCCTGACGAAGGGGGGGTTGGCCGCCTTCTCCTGACGACGGGGGGGGTTTGGCCGCCTTCTCCTGACGAAGGGGGGGTTTTGCCGCCTTCTCCTGACGAAGGGGGGGGTTGACCGCTTCTCTCCTCCTGACGAAGGGGGGGGTTGACCGCCTTCTCCTCCTCCTGACGAAGGGGGGGGTTGGCCGCCTTCTCCTCCTCCTGACGAAGGGGGGGTTGGCCGCCTTCTCCTCCTCCTGACGAAGGGGGGGGGGGGGTTGGCCGCCTTCTCCTCCTCCTGATGAAGGGGGGGGTTGGCCGCCTTCTCCTCCTCCTGACGAAGGGGGGGGGGCGGTTGGCCGCCTTCTCCTCCTCCTGACGAAGGGGGGGGGGGGGGGGGGGGGTTGGCCGCCTTCTCCTCCTCCTGACGAAGGGGGGGGGGTTGGCCGCCTTCTCCTCCTCTCCCTGACGAAGGGGGGGGGGTTGGCCGCCTTCTCCTCCTCCTGACGAAGGGGGGGGGGTTGGCCGCCTTCTCCTCCTCCTGACGAAGAGGGGGTTGGCCGCCTTCTCCTCCTCCTGACGAAGGGGGGGGGGTTGGCCGCTTTCTCCTCCTCTTGATGAAGGGGGGTCTGCCTCCTTCTCCTGATGAAGGGGGGGGTTGGCCGCCTTCTTCTCCTGACGAAGGGGGGGGTTGGCCGCCTTCTCCTTCTCCTCCTCCTGACGAAGGGGGGGGGGGTTGGCCGCCTTCTCCTTCTCCTCCTCCTGACGAAGGGGGGGGTTGGCCGCCTTCTCCTCCTCCTGACGAAGGGGGGGGGGGGTTGGCCGCCTTCTCCTCCTCCTGACGAAGGGGGGGGGGGAGGTTGGCCGCCTCTCTCCTCCTCCTGAATGGGGGGGGGGGGGGTTGGCCGCCTTCTCCTCCTCCTGACGAAGGGGGGGGGGGGGGGGGGTTGGCCGCCTTCTCCTCCTCCTGACGAAGGGGGGGGGGTTGGCCGCCTTCTCCTCCTCCTGATGAAGGGGGGGGTTGGCCGCCTTCTCCTCCTCCTGATGAAGGGGGGGTTGGCCGCCTTCTCCTCCTCCTGACGAAGGGGGTGTTGGCCGCCTTCTCCTCCTCCTGACGAAGGGGGTGTTGGCCGCCTTCTCCTCCTCCTGATGAAGGGGGGGGTTGGGCCCGCCTTCTCCTCCTCCTGATGAAGGGGGGGGGGGTTGCCGCCTTCTCCTCCTCCTGACGAAGGGTGGGCAGGGGGGGGGGGGGGGGGGGGGTTGGCCGCCTTCTCCTCCTCCTGACGAAGGGGGGGGGGGGGGGGTTGGCCGCCTGGCCCGCCTTCTCCTCCTCCTGACGAAGGGGGGGGGGGTTGGCCGCCTTCTCCTCCTCCTGACGAAGGGGGGGGGTTGGCCGCCTTCTCCTCCTCCTGACGAAGGGGGGGGTTGGCCGCCTTCTCCTCCTCCTGACGAAGGGGGGGGTTGGCCGCCTTCTCCTCCTCCTGACGAAGGGGGGGGTTGGCCGCTTTCTCCTCCTCTTGACGAAGGGGGGGTCTGCCTCCTTCTCCTGATGGGGGGGGGGGGTTTGCCGCCGCCTTCTCCTCCTCCTGATAAAGAAAAAGGTTGGGGGTACGGCAGATTACCAGTACGGCCCCCGGTGTTGGCGGTTTACCAGTATGGCCCCCGGTGTTGGCGGTTTACCAGTACGGCCCCCGGTGTTGGCGGTTTACCAGTACGGCCCCCGGTGTTGGCGGTTTACCAGTAGGGCCCCGGTGTTGGCGGTTTACCAGTAGGGCCCCGGTGTTGGCGGTTTACCAGTACGGCCCCCGGTGTTGGCGGTTTACCAGTAGGGGCCCCGGTGTTGGCGGTTTACCAGTACGGCCCCCGGTGTTGGCGGTTTACCAGTACGGCCCCCCGGTGTTGGCGGTTTACCAGTACGGCCCCGGGTGGTGTTGGCGGTTTACCAGTAGGGGCCCCCGATGTTGGCGGTTTACCAGTAGGGCCGCGGTGTTGGCGCGTTTACCAGTAGGGCCCCGATGTTGGCGGTTTACCAGTAGGGCCCCGGTGTTGGCGGTTTACCAGTAGGGCCCCGGTGTTGGCGGTTTACCAGTACGGCCCCCCGGTGTTGGCGGTTTACCAGTAGGGCCCCCCCGGTGTTGGCGGTTTACCAGTAGGGCCCCGGTGTTGGCGGTTTACCAGTAGGGCCCCGGTGTTGGCGGTTTACCAGTAGGGCCCCGGTGTTGGCGGTTTACCAGTAGGGCCCCGGTGTTGGCGGTTTACCAGTAGGGCCCCAGTGTTGGCGGTTTACCAGTAGGGCCCCGGTGTTGGCGGTTTACCAGTAGGGCCCCGGTGTTGGCGGTTTACCAGTACGGCCCCCGGTGTTGGCGGTTTACCAGTACGGCCCCCGGTGTTGGCGGTTTACCAGTACGGCCCCCGGTGTTGGCGGTTTACCAGTACGGCCCCCGGTGTTGGCGGTTTACCAGTAACGGCCCCCGTGTTGGCGGTTTACCAGTACGGCCCCGGTGTTGGCGGGTTTACCAGTAGGGCCCCGGTGTTGGCGGTTTACCAGTACGGCCCCCGGTGTTGGCGGTTTACCAGTAGGGCCCCGGTGTTGGCGGTTTACCAGTAGGGCCCCGGGTGTTGGCGGTTTACCAGTAGGGCCCCGGTGTTGGCGGTGCTCTTCATGCTGACGGCAGGCGATGTGTATTTATGGCGATTTCTAGGTACGTTTATATTCTGTTTGATCTCCTTCCAGTATGAAAGGAAGACGCTGATGGAGAAATCTCACCGGGACTGATGGACGCACCCAGCGCAAACAGCGAGGCGATTCATTGGTGGGGCGGTCCTTGTGGAGCACAAGTTACTGCAGTCTGTGATTGCCGCTTCACCGAGGTAACGACATCCGGCGGACATTGTGAGACTTCTGTCTGGTCAGTGGGAAGGACTGTGTACAAACTCTCCTCCTACCGCAGACGCACGCTTCCTCCCACAGCTGGTCTTGTGTTCTGACATCCAGGAAATCGGTAGTTTGTTGTGACTCCGCCCCCAGCGCCATCATCCAATATAAATATACACCTTGTATCCTCCTCCGCTGTCCCTCACCGTGCAGTCATTGTCACACAAGCCAATGACGCGATGACTCCGCCCCCTGTGTACAGACGATTGGGGGGAGGGGGTGTCATGGTTCGAGGAGCACGCTGTTCTTTGGTCTCTTGGAGCGGAATAAACATCTGGAGTTTTGATGGAGTGCAGTGTCATGTGTGAGACCTCCCCCATCGCCTCTCTTCAAAACCCCTCCCCCATCGCCTCTCTTCAAAACCCCTCCCCATCGCCTCTCTTCAAAACCACTCCCCCATCGCTTCTCTTCAAAACCCCTCCCCCATCGCCATCGCCTCTTCAAAACCCCTCCCCCGTCTCTTCTTGGTTGGTATGAGTCCCTGCTTGATGGTCTGGTCTGCCAGAGAATCTGGTGTACCTATGGTAGGTGGTGTGGTTTATTCAGGTGGCAGACTGCATGGTGTGGTGCGGTTGGGTAGCAGGAGGTGTGGTGTGGTGGGGTAGGTGGTGTGGGCGGGTTGGTGCGGTTGGGCAGCAGGTGGTATGGTGTGTGGCAGGCTAATTGGTGAGGTGCAGTTGGGTAGCAGGAGGTCTGGTGTGGTGGGGTAGGGGGGTGTGGTGTGATGCGGTTGGGTGGGAGGCGGACTGGTGTGGTTCGGTTGGGTGGCAGGCTGCATGGTGTGGTGCGGTTGGGTGGTAGGTGGACTGGTGTGATGTGGTAGGTGGTCTGGTGTGATGTGGTTGGGTGGTAGGTGGACTGGTGTGGTTCGGTTGGGTGGCAGGCTGCATGGTGTGGTGCGGTTGGGTGGTAGGTGGGTCTGGACTGGTGTGATGTGGTAGGTGGTTGGTAGGGTGTGATGTGGTTGGGTGGGAGGCGGACTGGTGTGGTTCGGTTGGGTGGCAGGCTGCATGGTGTGGTGCGGTTGGGTGGTAGGTGGTCTGGTGTGATGTGGTTGGGTGGTAGGAGGTATGGTGTGCGTTTTGGGTGGCAGGCTGCATGGTGTGGTCGCGGTTTTGGGTGGTAGGCGGTTGGGTGGCAGACTGCATGGTGTGGTTGAGTTGTGGTGCGGTTTGGGTGGTAGGTGGTTGGGTGGCAGAATGCATGGTGCGGTTGAGTTGTGGTGCGGTTGGGTGGCAGGCTGCATGGTGCGGTTGAGTTGTGGTGCGGTTGGGTGGCAGAATGCATGGTGCGGTTGAGTTGTGGTGTGGTTGGGTGGCAGGCTGCATGGTGGGGGCAGTGGGCGGTGTGGTGCGGTCGGGTGTGTAGGCTGTTGGTGCGGTTGAGTTGTGGTGCGGTTGGGTGGTAGGGGGTTTGGTGTGGTGCAGTTGGGTGGCAGGCTGCATGGTGCGGTTTGGTGTGGTGCGGTTGGGTGGTAGGCTGCATGGTGCTGG